TCCCGGCCCCACAGCGAGAGCAGTGCGAACACTGCCGTGCCAGCACCACTATGCGGGGACTTTGCGGGAGGGAAACAAATCGGTCCCAGGGATAGGCAGAAAGTGCACGGACCCTGGAGCTCGGCTGATCTCGGCGCCACTGAGTCGCCCCGAGAGCTGGTTTGCAAACGAAAATCCCCAGGTGAAGTCGGGGAGCTGGGCACCGCACAGCCTGTCCGCCCGAGGGGGGCTGCTCCTCGCATCCCGCTCCTGACTGGGTTTCTGGACCCGCGGGTTTCGTCCCTGGTCGGCCCCGTTCAGGTCCCGGCCCCGCGGCCGAAGACCTCCGAGGGAGCGGCGACTTCTCCATCTTTCTCTGCCGGGGAAAATTCGGGGCTTCCCGGGACCGGTGTGTCCCGGCCGGGACCGGCCGGGCGCGGTGCCCCTGACCCCAGCTCCCAGGCCGGATGCGAGTACTCGGGTCACATTTATTTTTGGTGCAGAAAAGTTTCTTCCCCTGTAAGGAGGTGGTTGCGAGGGAAGGAGGGATCGCCCGACAGCTGTACAACGAGCTCCAGAAATGGCCTCTGCTGGGGAGCTTCTCCCTAACCCTACAGCGTTCCCCGGTACCCCGGTGCCCCCTCCCCATCATAGCTGGCAGCCGACGGACGCCCAGCTGGGGAGCGTTGTTTTCCGAAGAGAGCAACGCCGTGCAGCGCCCGGCGGCGGCATCAGGGGATACCTCTAGGTACCCGTTACCGGCCGTTTTTCAGGAGCGGACTGGGACAGGGATCACAGACCCTGCCGTGGCTCTCCGTTCACCGCGGGTCCCACCGGGGCCTCTCCGCCCCTCGGCACTCGCAGCCCCAAACTTGGAGGGATGCTTGAAGACTAAAACAGTTATTTCTTAGGTTCCCGGCTCGCCCTTCCGGCCTTTGAGAGATGCTGTGCCAAGACTAACTACTAGCTCGAGGGCAGGAGTTTTGCTCCTCTCCCCCCTGCTAACAGGGAGTGGTAACGTGTTTAGACCACTTAAACTAGGCAGACATAGCTGGGAGCCATGCACGGCTCAGCTATGCCGGGAAAGGAGGTGTCATTTGTACGCAGTTACTTTGGTGATCAACACTTGAATGATATATGCGGCCTGCTTTAATTATATTCCTGTGACATTTTCCTGGACAGGAGCGGACCGCACACAGCCAGAGCCGGGCAGCCCCGGGAGCGTCCTGCTGCTGCCCGCCGGGCCCGGGACTGTTCCGGGGAGGGCAGCTGTGCCCACACCCCGAAATACGGTTCTGGAGACGGCAAGAGGAAAAGCTTCCAAAGATGCTACTCGTAGCCTGAGATTTTGTTGTTGTTGTTGTTGTTGTTGTGTATCCCCACTCACGAGGAGTTTTGGTTTCAGCTGCAGTTTTCTCCTCTGTGAGGAGGAAACACCGCAGTTTCACTCGCTTTTCTTCCACGTTGGAAGGCAGGGACCTAGACCGACACTTCCCAAAGGTTTGGGAGAAAGCCCTCATCCATCCCCGGGGACATCCAAGGGCCGCCGTGCCCCCCAGCCCTGCTTGTCCCCGTCTCTCGATGGGGAACCCGACTCAAACTTCTGCCTGCCCCAGGAGTAGGTCAGTTCCAGGTCCCGCTCAGAGGGGCTGTTGCAGGCAGAAGCAGGGGGAGGGAGGGTGTTGGAGCGCATTGGATGAGGGTGTTCTTCCCCAAACGACCTCAAAGCTGGGACACACGACTAGCAGCTGAGTCCCGGCGGGACGGGCACAAGAGCCCGGCGGGATGCGAAGTTCCGTGGCGGTGGCAGGAGCAGGCCCCCGGCTGTCCCCGGGGCTCCCTTGCTCTCCGGAGCCCTCCGAGGACAGTGAGATGCAATGGGACACGCCGGAGGGCACTGAGAGTCCCTAATTCGGGGTTGGGTGCCAAACGGGCTGCCAAAAAAGAAAATTAAAATCATTAAACTCTGAAGGATGAGGAGGGGAGATGAAGAGCTCTCCCCCTAAGCCGGATTGGGGGCAGCCCAGCCCACCCCCGGTGCACAGAGAGGGAATCGTTCGCGAGGAGGGAGACGCAGCGGTTGCAAAGGAAAAGTAAGCACAGGACAAACGAACCCAAATCCGCCAAAGGCAGCACCGGGCAGCCGAGAGCACAGCGGAGAGGGCTCGGTCGAAGCCCGCCGGGACAACCACCGAGAGCCGGGGGACTCGGGGAAGGTGGCCGGGATCTGCCCCCTTCCCTCCACACCACCCTTTTTTCAGTGAGGTGCTATCTGGGGGGGGGACGCTGGGCTCAAGGGCAGGCGACAGGCCTGGAGCCATCGGGCTGAGCTGTTCATGCAAAACAAGAACCCGTCTATCCCCTACCAGACAGCGGCCGAGGCAAACGAGGAAGGGTCCCTCTGTGTCGGGAAGCCTGTACTGAGGCTGCTGTCCGTCTCCCCCTGGCTCTGCCCCTATTAGGGAGCAAAAAAAAAAAAAAAAAAAAACCACGAAGGGTGCTTTGAAAGCCCTGTCCTCCCGCGTAGGAAGAGAGAGGAGACGCAGGCTGGGGGGACAACGGGGGATCCAAAACGATTTGTAGGATTTCGCTGTGTCTGAATCACTTTTGCTCGTGCCCTGAACGAAACGGGCTGTGCTCGAGAAGGGGGGAGTGAGTTCCTCCCGTGTCCGCTCTCCACTCTGCGGGAAAGGCTGCAGCGGGGAACCGGCTGTGCCTCAGAGCATCCCGTACGCCCGCCAGCCCGCACAAACTCGCACTCAGGAACGAGGCTATTTTTCTTTCGTTTTTTTCCCCTCCTTTTTATTTTTTTTTTTTTGACCTTATTTCTGTAATTATAACACCAGCACCCCGGCTGAGTTCTCAATAAAACCTGGATCCTGACATAAAACGACACGCTGGAAAACAATGCGAGGGGACACAAGGGAGAGGAGGAAAGTCTCTAATTGGTTAAAATATGTTTAAATCACTTCATAAAACCCGAGCAAAGCGAAGCAAATAATCCACCTAGCAAAGCAAAGAAGCCGGGCGATTTAGAATCAGTGTAATTCGCTCCCCCCCGACCGGCTCCCCCCCATCTCCTCGCAGTATTTGATATGATGAATAACCCAATATAGGCCTTTAAAAATAGGTCACTGCATAAAGAGACTCCCAGAGAGCTATAAAAAATGGGAAGAGGGCGCTTTAAGGAGAGGAGCCATTTGCTTCTTTTGTGCTTGTTTGGTACCTAGCGGCCTGGGAGCTGCCAGCCGTCCTCCCCTTGGCCCTCAAGGTGAGGAGGGAAAGTTGGGGCCCAGTCCAAGCCCCTGTCTCTCTTCCTGCCCCATCGCCTCTCCCACCGCCTCCCGTCCCGTCCAGCCCCGGCCCCGGCCGCGGCTCGTGTCCCGGCCGAGGTCCCCCCGGGGACCGTGGGGGAGCGTTCACGCCCGCAGTGGGGGCCAAGCTGTTCGCCCCGGCTCTGGGCTTTGTCTCCGTCCCTGCGGAACGGCGAGACAGAAGCGGGATGGTGATCCGCGTTGAAATACTAAGGAGCGGGTCTGGCCCCGGGGAGAGCCGGGCCGGGCCGGGTTCCCCGAGAGTGGGGGACACAGCAACCCCCGCCAGCCCTGCCCCGCTCCAGGGCCACCCGTGGGCTCGCAGCAAAAGGACTCGGGCTAGAAACCGGCCCTCCCCGACTCTTTCCCCCCCGCGCTGCTCCCGGCCAGGACCACCCGGCACCACCGGAGCCCCAGAAGCCGCCGCCAGCCCCGGAGCGCTCCCGGCCCGCAGCCCGCCACGCAACCCCTCCGTGGGCTCTCCCGACACCGGGAGGCCCCGCTCCCGCCCCGGGCCCCGCAGCCCGCTCCGACACAGGGCGCTGGGAAAGAGGAGCACGACAAATTCAGGGGAAACCTTCGGGTTTTATTGGAAAGGAAAGATCTGCCTTACCTGGAACCAGGCTCTCCCCTTCTTCCCCTCATTAAAAAAAAAAAAAAAAATCAAACGGCTCTGGGTAGAGCTGGAAAGAGACATTTTGAATAACCTGGTAGCAGAAATTAGCAGGAGAGAGAATAGAAAGAAAACAAAAAAAAAATCTCGGGGGGAAGAGAAAAAAGATACAGCCGGATATTTTTCGGTTTGTTTTGTTTTCGCTTATTATTATTTTTCACTATACTGTATTATCCTGATGCAATAAAGGCTGGTTTGTAATGTAATTTAAAAATATATATGTCCAAACAAATAGCAGGGCCAGAATATGACAAGTGCATTCAGCATTATAATTCAACTGGGCTCCACCTCCATACCGCCTCCTAATTAATGGGTCTCCGAACTTGCAAAAGCCTGCATTGGACAGAGAGGGAGAGAGAGAGAAAGAGAGAGAGAGAGAGGGCGAAAAGTGTCATTGAAGATAATTGATTACCTCCCAATCAACAATAACTTGTTAGCAATAGTCAATTACCCCATCTCTTCTCGCTTCTTTCCCCCTGGTCCGAGGTCTCGGTACGAGGGCTGCTCTTCCCCTCGACGAAGTCTGCTTTTTCTTTTTCTTTTTTTTTTTTAATTATTTTTAAAAATTATTTTGGGGTGGGTATTAGCTTGAGGTGGGGGGGCAGCGAAAGTGCTGTGATTTGGGGTGTTTCTTAAAATAGCAGCTAGAAAGAGAAAGAAAGAGGAGAGACAGGGGAAGAGAGAGAGAGAGAGAGAGAGAGAGAGAGAGAGAGAGAGGAGACAGACAGGAGGGGGGGAAATCTCCGACCCAAAACCCTGGGACAAGAGGTACGGCAGGACCACCTCTCGGCGAGGGACCGACGGCAGCTCTGCTCCGCTCCGCGCCCGCCCGCCGCCCTGCCCGCCCGGCCCGCCGCCCGACGTGGCTCTCCCCGGGAGGACCCGGGGCTCCTCCGCCGGAGTTGGAGGTGGGCTTCAACTTTTGCTCGCTGTCTTCGCCGCCGTCACCCCGCGGTCCCGCCGGGGGCTTCTCCCCGCGGCAGCGCATCCCCGTCGCGGGTGGGGAAGGCAGCCCCGTGCAGCCCGGCCCCACCATGACTTCCAAAGAAGAACCCAAGCCCTCTTCGGGGGAAGAACGGCGGCGGAGCCCCTTGGATCACCTACCACCGCCGGCCAACTCCAACAAGCCCCTCACCCCCTTCAGCATCGAGGACATCCTCAACAAGCCCTCTGTGCGGAGGAGTTACACCCTCTGCGGAACGGCCCACCTCCTCTCCGCCGCCGAGAAGCACCCCCCGGCCGGGCTGCCCCTCTCCGGCCGGGCGCTGCTCTCCCAGACCTCGCCCCTCTGCGCCCTGGAAGAGCTGGCCAGCAAGACCTTCAAGGGGCTGGAAGTCAGCGTGCTGCAGGCGGCCGAAGGTAAGCCCCTCTCAGAGCAGGGGGTCCTCCAACGGGTGGGTACCCCGCTCCTCCCCAGGGCCTGGTTTTCCTCCTGTCCTCGTCCCCCGCCATCTCCCAGGGTGTCGCACGGGGTGGGATGGGGGTCCCTGCGCGGCCCGTACCCGGCGGTACCCGGCAGCATCCTCCCCCGTGGCCCTCGGGGCGCGGGAGAGGGGGCTCTGTCCCGCTCCCTCCACATACCCACGGGGCAGGGGTGTGGGGTCCGGGGGCTCGGGTCGGGGTGGACAAGGGAAAGCGGGGACAATCTGGCGGCTCGTCGGCAGGCCGGGACGGGATGACCATCTTCGGGCAGCGGCAAACGCCGAAGAAGCGTCGGAAATCGCGGACGGCCTTCACCAACCACCAGATCTACGAGCTGGAGAAGCGGTTCCTCTACCAAAAATACCTGTCGCCGGCGGACCGGGACCAGATCGCCCAGCAGCTGGGGCTCACCAACGCCCAGGTCATCACCTGGTTCCAGAACCGCCGCGCCAAGCTCAAGAGAGACCTGGAGGAGATGAAGGCCGACGTGGAATCGGCCAAAAAGCTGGGCCCCAACCCCGCCGTGGACATCGTGGCCTTGGCCGAGCTGGAGCCCAGCGCGGAGGGACGGGGCAAGGCGCGGCCCGGGTCCCCGCCGCCGCCCCCCGCCGCCGCCCGGGAGCCCGGCGCTCCGCCGCCGCCCCGCCCCGCCTCGCCCCCCACGGAGCGGCCCCGCAGCCGCCGGGACAGCGAGGAGGAGGAGGAAGAGGAGGAGGAGGACGTGGAGATCGACGTGGATGACTGAGGGGCGGCCGGCGTGCCCCCCCATGTCCCTCCCCCCCCATCCCGAGAGCTCCACACCGGCACCCTCGGCCCCCCAGGCCGGCCCCGGCAGCGCGGCGGGGCGGCCGCTCCCCTCGGCCGGAGCAATAAGCAATAGAACCCCGCCACAGACACACACCCCCGGTTAATTTAGGGTAGAGTCGATATCCCTCCGCCTGCCACATCTTCGGAACGGTGCAATTACGGACGGCTTCTGTATAAATATTTAAACTTATATATTGGAATTTTTTTCCTTCCCCCTTCTTTTTGAGGTTTTGATTATTATTTTTTTCTAATAGCTATCAGTGATGATTATTTTATCTATAAGGGAGACGCGTAACCTTGGAATAAACCTGGCTTCCAACAGATGTTTGGGAAAGCAGTTGTTTTCAAAGACTTCCGAAACAAACCACTTAAGAGAAGATTTAAGTTAGGCTTAAAACGGCAACAGCAAAAAATTAGCCGCTTTCCTTTCCTTGCATGTTTCAGATGTGCACGAACTAATTTTTTTCCCTTTAAAAATATTTTTTTCTTTCGCAATCTTGGGAACTTGGGGCTGGGTGATAATGCAAGTTGAAAAATATATACTTTCTTTTTTTCCTAGAGCATAGAGATTTGTCTCCAATGCAATTTCTGCCTCATTTTAACAATTAAAAGCTATTTTTACCATTTTCTGCTATTGTTGTGCTTTTATTAAAAAGCTGCCTTTCGTATTTTTGATATGAAGGTGGTAACAAAAAAAAAAAGGAAAAATAAAAAAAATCCTAGAATTATTTTTTACTCTTTTTAGAATTTTTTGCATGCTATGGAAATAAAAAAGTACAAATCCCAAAATCAATACATTTAAATATTACACTATAAATTTAAAAAATTGTACAGATTTAAGACCTGGTTTTGTTTGAATTGTACAAATTTTAAAAGGCCTGCTATTTAAGTTCCGATAGGGACAATGTCGCTTTATTTACTGTCTCTTAGAATTGTACAGATAGCTCTTTTTTTCCGATACAATAAAATCCTTACCATTTTAATATACTTTTTAACGTCCTTCATTTGTGACCGAAAAAGCACCCCGCCGGTCCGAGGCTACACCGGACTTTTCCCCCGCAGGAATTTCCCATCCCGTTTGCATTTAAAGTTACTCTGAGAGCAGTACCTGCGAGAAAAATGAGGGGAAAGGAGCACACGAGCTAGACCAATATTATTATTTAGGGTTTTTTTCTATGTCTAATGCCAGGCAGAGTTTAGCAGAGGAAGAACGCGGAGCACGGATAAGGCCGGAGGTGCGGGCAGCGCTTCCCGGGCGCGGGGGATGCGCGGCGGCGGCGGGAGCGCGGAGGGGCGGGCGGGACCACCGGGACCCCGGGACCCTCCCGCTGTCAGCAGGGCATTTCCAGCCCGAAATTGCAGGGGGAAAAGAAGGGCAGGAAAAAAAAATAATTGAAAGAAAAAGCAAATCCGAGCGGCAGCAAGGAGTTATCAGCGATTTGGACAAAAGGAGCGGGGTGTGCTGCGGGGGGAGCTGCCCTCCGCCCGGCTGGCCAGGCCTCCCGCGCCTGGGCAAAAGCTGCCACGGGAACACGGAGATGGAAAATGTTTCGTTTCCTCACTTTAGCTCTTTTCCTTTTAATTTCCTCCCTCTCTTTTTTTTTTTTTTTTTTGGGGGGGGGGGGTCTTTTTTCATTTTTTTTTTTTTTTTTTTCCACCAAAATTAAAGCTCTGGTGAATGTGTTTTCTCTTGGCAGCGTGACCTGCCTTTGGAGTCGAGCAACGTGTGTTTCTCCCTATTCTTTGTAAAATTTATGTGAGAAAGGCAAATCTGGTGTACAGTGGTGGAGTCGGCAGAGAAGTGTCCAGATAAGACGGGGTTGGTTTGTGGGTTGGATTTTTTTTTTTTTTGGTCCAGTTTCTCCGAGGCTAAATAAATCTTTCTCCTCTTTGAGAATGGATGGGGTTGTAATTTTTAGCGTAAAGCATGAAAACTGGGGACAAATGAGCCCTCTTCTCTGAAGTGACAAGCGACAATGGAGCATATACAGCCTCCTGCGGTTCGCCATGCTGAAACAAGCGTGCCCCTCCGCAGCAGAGAGAAGGCGAGCGCTTGGAGACCATATGGTTTTTGAATTTTCTTCACAATTTCCAGACAATTTGATGGATTAGGTTAACCCTCCCTTCCACTGTTTAACTCCACAACAATGGGAGCAGAGCTGTTCTCCCTTCGTCGGGGCATCTGCGCGCTTCTATTCTTTTTTCTTTCTCTCTTGGTATTTGGAACAAGCCTATGAATTACAATGAAATTCACTTTTCTTTAGTATTATTTGGAAGAGCACTTGTTTTCCGCCACCTCCCGCCCCCACTTCGCCATCCCCTCTTTTTTCCTTTTTCTTTTTATTCTTTTTTTTTTTTTTAACCTCCGAATGATAGCTTTGACTTCTGTCCAGATCTCTCGGAAAGCCTTCAATCTTGTCCTTAAGTGTTTTTATGCTAAGCAGGGAAATCGTAAATGCTGAGAAACTGTGACATTTATGTGAAGATCTAGTTAAAGGGCTTTATTTGTTTTCTTTATCTGTTTTTTTCCCCATTCCCTCTCCTGTTCCCCCTCCTCTACTGTCCCCTCCCTCCCCCCAGTCTTTTATTCTTTTGTCTTGGAATGGATTTAATGAGGCTGCAAAGAGTACAATTCACTATAACCAAGAAATAAAAAAAAAAAAAAAAAAAAAAAAAAAGAAAGTGGCTGGGTGTATGGAAAATAGGCTGGGAGTTAATTTGGGTTTCTGATCTATTGACTTCTGAGTGCAAAGAGAAGAGATGCCGGGCCGCCTTGCACCCGCAGAAGTTTACCACACGTGGCTGGGGCGGGTTAGTAAATAAAGCCTCCTCCTGAAGATTTGTAGCCTGTTAATTTGGCTAGCCCCCTATTTCCAGATAACTGGGATTTTGGCTGTTTAATCTGCATTTTGACAAACAAAAGATTTTTTTTTTTAGCTTAAAAATTAATCTCTGGCTTGTGCGCGTCGTTTGTCATCCAGTTTGAAATGCGCCGTTCCCTAGGATCACCTACATGAGGAGATCTATTGCTCAGGGTTCGCTCTTCCTCGAATTTTAGATATAATACGGCTTTTTGTTTGTTTGTTTGTTTGTTTCATTTTCAGTGGTATGTTTTTTGGGGTTTTTTTCCTTGTTTCTGTTCTTTTTCTAGGGGGACGGGATTGAGTGGGTGTGTGTGGGAGTGAGACTGCTGTTTGCCGGGTGGTTTGGGTTTTTTTCCCCGCAGCAGCAATAGGGACGCGGTGACAGCGCAGAATCGTGTCCTCTGGGCTGACCCAGCCGCAGCCCTTCCCGGCCCACTCGGAGAGCTGCAGCCATGGACGCGGCACGGAACCCCTCCTGCCCCCCCAGACTCCCAGATTTACCCCAAATTAGGGATCTCGGGATCTGTCTCGCCGAGCCAGGGGCCGCCGGCCGCTCCCGTCCGTGTCCAGCGCTATCCCGGAGAAGGAGGGCCCTGGGCCGAGACCCCCGGCTGGAACTTCCTGGCCGGGGACACCTGGGACGGCGGTCCCCTTGTCTGGCCTTCAACCTGCCCGCAGTGCTTCCTGCACGGATTCACAGAGGGGGCACAGTCCGTCCCGTGTCCGCTCCCGGCAAACCCGCAGCGTTTCGGAGCTGCTCGCCCCCAGCCCGATGCTCCGTGCCCTGGGCACTGGTTCACCGCGGTTCGGCCTGGGAAAAGGTGGGCACGAGGCAGGGGGAGACACAGACCTTTCCCGACAAGGAAAATAAAGGCGTTAATCCGCTTAAACACCCCAGGTCCTGGCCCGGAGAGGTGAAACCTAACAACTGGCAACAGGGTGTGCGGGAACATGGAAGCGCCTTGCGGGAGCGAGCTGGGGGCCCGGAGGTCGCTCATCACCCGCCCCGTCGGGGGCTGCGCTGCCCCGTGTCCCCCGCGCCGGGGCGGGAGCGGGCACCCGGGCACGGGCAGGTGCGGGCAGGGGCAGCGCGGGCGTGGGGACCCCCGAGGGTTGGGTCCAGCCCGCACCTCGACCACCGCTGTTCCCTCCCCGGCAGAAACCCCATTTCTCAAACGCAGGAGCCGGACATGCCCTCCTGCCTGTCGTCCTGCTCCCGCCCATCCTCCCGCCCCCGCCATACCCATCCTTCATCCCCAAACTTGACACTGCCTTAGATTTCGTTCGGAGGTGTGAAGGGAGCGGGAGGGGAGGAGGAGGTGGGGGGGATGTTGTCTGCTTGGAAAAGGCACTGATAATGTTTGCGGGGGGGAGTTAAGCCTTTTTTTTTTTTCCTGAGGGGGGTGGAGAAGATCCATATTTGATCTTGTTCACTTCACACAGAGCTCCCAGACGGAGAATAAAGCCCCCTTCTGAATTATCCAACAGGGTTGAAGCAGGTTGAGTCAGTGAAATTCAGTTCCTTATTTTATGAGGTGTCAGAGCTGATGTCGAATATGGCAACGATAACTAATACTACAGTCTGAGGGACCAGAACGTGGTAATTAATCCCAAAGACTTAAGTGTATTTTAGTTCAGGAGAAAAAAAATCACTAATTCAATCGTCCGGAAAATTGAAGTTTGATGCATGAGTCTCTGCTGAAAGGAAAGGCTTTTTCTTCCCGATTCTGGGGTTGGGGCAGGAATCGCAGCCTGTCTCCTCCGCTCCCCGGAAAGGCCCCTGCACAGGGCCGCTGCCCCCAGCCCGGGGCACAGCGGGGACCGACAGGCTGAGGTGACACAAGGCTCTCTTCATTCCCTCCATGTATCACACCGTCTTGCCCGCCCGCCTCCCGCAGTAAGCCCTGAATATTCACGGCCGTATCGCGACCGCTCCCTAGTATCGCGACATGTGGAAAGGCCGTCGGCCAGCGCCGCGGGTCCCCCCAGCTGCTCTTGGCCTCCCTCTGTTCCGTACCTTCGGCAGCGGCTCCGGTGGGGTGCCAGCCCTTTGCCGGCCTGCCATGCCCACACC